GTGCACGTGGGAAAACCGATCCATGTGCCACTATGTAATCTGATGGATCAGAGATCCTCAAGTAACAAGGAGAAACCTACAAAATACAATTAGTAAACTATTTTCGGAAACAAGTAAACGTAAACTAAACGGGAAACCTTAATTACAAAATATATGTACCTCAGTGACACCGGCGACGTCAACAAAATCTGTAGACGCCTTGCTACTACGCTGAAGCTCATAATGAGGTGGTACAGACGGTGTGTGCTGCGACATGGATGCCCCTTCTGGAGCACTCCCGGACACAGATAGTCCATACTGCTGCAGAAGGGAAGGAAGACGCTGCAAAAGATCATCCTCAGTCAAATAGTTACCTTCGGGCTTACGAGGCTTCATGTTGCCATTAAAAACTTTACGTAAGCCCGAATATGACCCAACACCCCTCGTCCGTCCTGGGTGCTCGGCAGACCCTAAAGCTCTAGTCAGTACATCATTGTGCCCATTTGGAACAAAGGTACCGGCTGCGACCTCTTTCTTTAGCTGAACCTACAATTAAGAAAGAAAAGAAGTAAAGAAATTGTAAGCAAATAATAAACAAGTAATAAACATATATATTGACGCAATTGTAGATTATATGCTTACTATCCTATCACGAATCTCCATCAGTGCAGGGTCCGTAACTTTTGCCTGCCTCCCCGGGGTGTGACCTCACAACCAAGTGTCCTCTCGTCCCAGCTGAGAACTCTTCTCTGTAGACGAACCAGCGATATCAGCAGAAGTACTAGTGTTGGCCTGAGAACCAACTGCCAACTCACGCAAAAGCATGGCATATCCACCTCGGCCCATAAAATGCGGATAGGAATTCTTCTTCTGTATATCCCTATTCTTATCGCTCAAAGCCTAAAAGAATTTTTAAAAATAAATTAATATGTCAAGTAATAAATTCATTCAATGAAGGCAATTATGGTTTACCTTAGCTTCCGGAGTCCCCATCTGGATCAGAAACTCCTCCCAATGCTCTCGCTCTATGAAGGTATAATCATCAGGGGGATAATTGTCGTAATGATCCCCACCTTCCGTCAAATAGGCTTTTCGTAAATATGTCCGGAAAGCGTGAAGTCTAGCCCCAGCAACTGTCATAACATGTCGGGCCCCACCAGGAGGTATCACATATATTTCCTACAAGAAAATGAAGCAACAACTTATTATACATAGAACCATGTAACAATAAAATATAGCAAATTTAGATAAATAAGTGGTACCTACCCGAACCCCGTCTAGTACTGTGGCCTTCAGGTCTTTTGGGACATCACGCCATTGATGATAAGTAATCGGCACTCTCGATCGGACCTCAAACCCTACAAGCCCAGTAAATTCCGAAATATACGGACCACGTATAGGCTCCCCACGCTCCCACTCAAGCTCTATAGGCGGGTGACCTTCCCTCTTCCTCTTATAAAGCTTCTCGCACTTCCCCGCACCTCTAACCTTTTTCTTCTTCCGTTGGTCCGCCATACCTGCACAAATTCAAATTAATTTAGACAACATAAGTATAATAAAAGTGAAACAACAATGAATTAAATGAAAAAGATCAATATAAACATAAATAAGTACCTAAAGCATTATTTTAACTTTTTCTTTCCACCATCTATCCATAATCCTTCTTCGTGATCTTCGCGAATGTATTTTGCTCCTATATCATCAACTTGTGAGTTTGACGAAATCATTGAAGTATGAGTTGCTTCATCGTATAAACCGTCGTCCAACTCAACTGATGCCCTCTTCCCTTGTCGAACAACAGACCAATTTTTATCTTTAGGATCAACAATGTAATAGATTTGCGTCGCTTGAGAGGCCATTATAATAGGTTCCTCATGATGACCCAACTTTTGAAAATTCACTAATTTAAACCCCATGTCATCTGATTTAATACCCTTGTTGATATCCACCCATTTACATCGAAAAACAGGAATGGTGAAAGTTGTATATTCGAGTTCCCATATATCCTCGATCACGCCATAGTAAGTTTTGTATGATC